AGGTTGCCTACAGAGGAGAGCGTCAACCGCGTGGAACATTCATTCAGTCCCAATGAGACGTAATCCTGACAATCCCCCCCCCTTTCCCCTCCGAGCAGCTCCGAGCCCTTTTAGGACAGCGCGGTTAATTACGAGCTAAAAGCCAACGCAGCGGATGTCCTGCTGCCGGCCAGTCCGACCCCCGCCATGTCGGCCAAAGCCAGCAAAGCCCTCCACGTCACGGTGCACGGCGGCGTGGGCGGGCGCGGGGCAGCGGGCTTAGCCGCGCGTACACGTGTAGACACGACGCTGCTGCCCCGCGGCCCTCCAGCTCAACCGGCGGCAGGCCGGGCACGACACACCGAACCAGCGACGCATCAAAACACACAAAGTTTGAGACGCGGCAATTTCGAGGGAGCAGCAGAAGCAGGCGCTGCCCTCTGGCCCCTCTGGTGTGCCTCGAGGGCGGCGGATCCGCGCACACGCCCCACGCTGCAGCAGCCGGCTGCAAGGGCCGCCCGGGAAAATATATATCTCCTCCCTTCTCCCTCTCCTGCCCCTCCAGCGATGGCTATTACACGCCATGCAGGGCAGCACGGAGGGCAGACGTGACGCCCCTGCGAATGGCTGCAATGCGAATGTGACACCAGCAGCGGCGGCGACGGCGTGATGCGATGCGCCCCCCGCCACGCGCGCGCGCGAGAATCACGTCCGGGCGATGACGACGGTTCAAATACCGCTCCAGTGGGAGACATTCTTTTCTCCTTTTCCCCGGCAATAAGACTCCTCGTTTCTACGACGGGCAATCTCATGCTGCTGCTGGAGGCTTCGCCGAGCTCCGCCGCGGCCGCGCCTCGCAGCTTAGGTACTTTTGTGGCGCGTCCGCCACCGCGAAGCACAATCAGCTGAGCTCCATATCTCGCTCTCGCTCTCTCGCTCTTCATCCCGGAGCGAAACCATCAGCCTGCTCTCGCCCTTCGGCCTCCAGGGGCGGAGGAGGCGAAGCCGAGGTGGCGTGTGGAGGCGAGGGCCTGGCGCTCACCCCCTCCAGCGCACCCTGTCCACGACGGGCTACGCGCTCAGAGGGGTGATTTCTGACGCGGCGTGCCCTGAAATACCAGAGCAGCACTTGCACATCTGCGACACCGGACGCCCACGCCCGCCCCGCCCCAGCACCCCGCCGCTCTCCACAATCCTCACTATACTACTTGCGGCCAGCAGCACCGACCCCTTTCCCCTTTCCTATTCCTCTGTCTCTCTTGCTCTCAGCTCTACCCCAAGAGAAATAGGAGAGAGAGAAAAATACGAGCGTTATCCGATGCTGCATACAAATCTGATTCATTTCCGAGGGATGGTTTTTAGAACAGAGAAGGCGGGGTGGAGAGGGGGGTGGGGGGCGGTGGAAAGCTCACATCCGCTTTACTGCCTTTGCGCGTCCCATGGTCTGCGTCATCGAGAGGGTGAGGGAGGTGGAGAGGTGGAATTGGGGGTAGCCATTCAAATTTCAAAGCCACCCCCTCTGGTAACGGCGGAATGGGCGAGTGCGGTGGGGGCAGCTGCCCGCGCTAGCGGGACGAGCAGAAGGGAGAGCAGAGTGCACCTCCTTGGGGGTCGGAGCTGGACCGGAGCTCCCGCAGCATCTGCATTTTATGTAGCAGGTCCCAGGCCCAGACCTCCACGTTTCTATTTCGGACCGGACGCGCGGCCGCCGCCACCGCCGTCCGGCTGGCTAGGCAGCGCCATAATCTGTTGCTCTCACCGGGCGCACACGCGGCGCACATTGCTGCTGCGCGCGGTGGAGGAGAGGAATATGATAAAGAATGAGCCCGAGTAAGCAGCAGCAGCAGCAAACTTTTGCCCCTCCGCAGGGACTTCCCGCGGCGCGCAGCGCACATCGCACTCGACGAATTTCGGAAGCAGCAGCAGCCAGCAGCAGCTACATAGTGTCGTCGTCCTCCGGGAGCGACGCGGGCGGGGCGCGAGGCGGGGTTGGGCGCATGTCTGCAGCGGCGGCGGTGGCGAGCAGCAAGACTGTCAAAGTGTCGAGGGCCGTGAGAAATAGATAAATAGCCCCCGCCCCGCAGCAACACACAGGGGATCCATCTGTCCCGCACCTTTGCGAAGAAAAGCAAGAGCAGGACGACGACGACGCCGAGAAGAAGAAGACGAAGAAGAAAGAGACGGAGAGAAAAGAATAAAAAGACGCGCGCGGCGTTGCCCGACGGGCGTCGTCGTCTCTTTTTTCTTCGTCGTCCAACAGAGGCAAGGCAAGCAGCAGCAGCAGAAGTAGGAGGAGGTGGAGGCCCCTCCAGCAGGTCTCGCCGGACAAACTGAATCTACACCGACAGCCAAAGGGCCGGGTGGGGCAGCGGGGGCAGCAACAAGACGGAGGGAGAGACCTCCCCGGACCTCCCCCTTCGCACCGCTCTGCACGCACACAAACATGCGCGACCCTTCCGGCAGGGCATCTCTTCCCTCCTTCCCTCGGCGGTCGGCCGGCCCCGCGGCCGGTGCAGCAGAAGGCCGCCGAGAATGTATGGCCTTCCACGATAAGGGCGCAAGGGGCAAGA